AAAATGTTACTGAATATTAGATGTAGAAATGAAAACCTTATTCCTGACAAAGCTTACATAAATTTTTTTTAGAGAAAGCTTACATAAAGAATTAAAATGATCTCAATCTAACAGACAAAGTAAATAAAATATATATTTTTTAATTTGGATGTTGGGTATAGTTTCTATAAAATTATAAGTCTGGTCCAAAGAGAAATTTGATCCAAAGATTCTCTTGCATGTGCATCAATCGAGGAGAAAAATCAAGGAAAGGTTAGAATCAATATTATGGTTTAAGTTTTCTTACCTCCAAAGTGGATTGATCCAAAATAGAAGAAGCGAATAGATAATAGAGAGAGATCAAGAACTAGAGATGATGAAAAGCCCAAGAATTGAAGATGACGATATTATTAGGGTATTTCATCACTATCAGGTCGCGTAAGAGAAAAAAAAATATCAAAATTAGAAGAAAAAACTTCAAGCCAACCCAAATCAAACTATGCTCACCTATATATATATATATATTATATATATAATTAAAAAAGTAGAGCGTGGTCGGCAGGATTCGAACCTGCGCGGGCAGAGCCCACATGATTTCTAGTCATGCCCGATAACCACTCCGGCACGACCACGTTGTTATGCGAAAACATAATTCTTCGTATTAGACGGACACCACATGAACTGTAGGTGACATCTTACCTATTAGAAGACGTGGCATAAATTTACGTGACATCTTACCCAGTATATGAAACGATTATCTGTAGTTCGGAAGGGTTAACTAGCAATAAACTAGTTTTTATGAAACCTATCTATATAAGCGATATTAACTGGCATAGTGGCATGGCACGTATATGAAACGATTAATTAAAAAAACAATATCCATGTAAAAATTAAAAAAATGAATTCCATTTACTATGTACGTACATATAAAAAGGGGAGAAGATCGAAAGCTGAAAAATATCCGTTTTGCATTTTCTAGGCCATTTAGTTTGCTGTAGAAGTGACTTTGCATCAAACGTTGCGTATTTTGTTGCGTAAGCTCAACTTTAAAATCTATTATTTGAACGTATGCATTTTGTGGGAATACATGACAACACAAATTCGGTGTCAGGATTGCAAAACAAATGCACTCGATATATAATTTTATCGCGTAAAAATTGCAGCCGTGGGTGATCCCCGTTAGGTGAAATATTTACATTTTCAGCTCTATTTCTATTGTTCGGTTGAGAGCAAAACAAATGTAAATATTCACCTGAATTTATCTTTCAATTGTTCGGTTGAGAGCATATTTCAATTAGATTGCAAAACAATTGAAAGATAAATTCAGGCGGAATATCTACTCCTCTATACAAATGGGAGAACTCAAGATTCACTATTCATGCCACAGTAAATGCTATAGTAATATTTACTGTAGCACATGAAAATGGACACCGCAGTTTTTTAGAAAAAATTTACTGTGGCACACGGGAACACTGCAGCAGAGGCCAGATGCTGCAGCGATTCAAAAAATCAAAAAAGACTGTAGCAGTTAAACCCGAAATTATTGTAGCGAGAAAAAAATATACCGTGCTTTGCAGAGTGTTCACAGTAGTTTACATTTGCAGCTCTATTTCCGGACGCGCAAACTACCCAACAACGATCGCAAGGCAACCGCACTCATGGATTGGTGCGCCGGTGGGTGCGACGTAAAGCGGGTGAACAACTTCCGCACTTCTTAAACTTCGCATGCGAGCAACGTTGTCAGTCACTGACTAAAGCCGGGCATAATATTCAATAAAACCCAGCCAAAATTCCGTACCCGGTTACATCCCCTCACGTCGGCACGTTAAACTCTTCGGACGTGGACCCCACCCGACAACGGACGAGGCGCTAGGCCGAATGAGGCGCCCATTCCACTGTTTAAAAATCCAGTCAAGACAAAATCCCGTCGCTTTCCGGTCCGTCATTAACGACCTTTAATTATCGTCATTACTTAATAATTCATGGTGGTAATCACGGCCGGATTCGGGACTCCAGCTGGCCTGTCTTCGCGGGGCCCAGCTGCGATGCGAACGGGTGGAGTAATGCGTGTAGCCCCTAAATTGTACAACATTTGCAAAGGGATCCGCCACGATAATCCACGACGAGCGAGGTCCAAATAAAACGGGTTTCAAAAGCTTAGCGTGATTCTATCAATACGAGGAATCTCAAAATTTTTCCTATATTTTTTATCCATAGTTTTTTAATCTCTGTTTTCTCAATATTATAATTTTATCTGCTTTGTCTAAACTCTTAAATTAAAATCACGACACTCTCTTTTTTTATAGAAAGAAGATTCGAGAACATGAATATAAGAGAGAAAATAGGGGGAAAAAAGGGAAAATATCGGCATTTGCTGCCTTCAAATATTTCTTAATCACTACACCTCAAATGTTTAATAATTTGACATAATCTAGTAAATATTTGCTTTTTTTGAAATAACTCTATAATTTAATTCAACATTGAGCTAAAAAAATAGGAAGAAAAGGGATTTCAAATGTCTTGGATGTTTAAAAAGCTTGAAAGATTTGAAGAAACTATGCAAATGTTAAATGATTCAATATTCTTTAACCTAGGTCTTTTGATTTTAGCGCGAAATTTTCCAGAGAGGGTGGGTTAACTAGAAGAAATTTGTAAAAAATTTAAAGAATTTGACGGCAAAATCATAGCTTGAAGCGCCTTTCCATATTATTCACGCCTTTTGGGGACCTGCAAGCAAAAATAGTATCCTAAAATAAATTCGTACAAGAGGAATCCCCGATTTTGAGGGGTAAGCAAGGGATTAAGCGTCCTAATACTAATTAATTATAGGAACACCAATAAGGGATTTAAGAAAGGAATTATATCTCTCCATTCAAATTAAATGCTGCTCCTCCTATCGAGGTCCAGCAGCAGCAGCCTCTGCTTCCGCCGCCTCAAAAATTCGAAAAATTCGGAGAGCATGCGGATCGCCGACGTCCTCAGCGCTCGCACCGACGACGACGACGAAGACCACGGCGAGGAAGTAACCGATGATAGCAAGAGGAAAAGGGGAGGTTTTGACTCGTCGTCTTTGTCTTCCTCTGCTCGATCCCTCGTACCTCGATGGTTTTCGAAGAGCTACTCGTTTAAGATTATGAGGAGGAATAAGAAAGCGGGTCCGGATTCGGGTACGGGTTCACGTCGATTGGATCCTCCGGCGAGCTCCGGTGAAGCCGCGGTTGATCCGCCTCCGGGTCTTATGAGCTCAGAGGTCTCAGTTGATCCCGGTAATTTTTTTTTTTAATTCTGTTGAAGATTTAAAGTTTTGATTTTGGTGGAACTGATACCATCAAAGTGTTGGTGTCTGTAGTAGGATTAGGGAAATTAGTAATAAAAAGTTGCCAAATCCCGTTCTTGACTAATAATTGAAAAGTTTAAATCCCTTCATACTTGTGTCCCTTTGATTTCATGTTGAACTTTTCAATTCGGGTCCATTTCAATCAAGCTTGAATGCTTATTGTGGACGCATCGCATTTATTCTTACCCTTCAATGTGAAAAAATGATGATTTTATCTTTTTGCGGGTCTCTGTTTTATTGTGTACTCGCAGTTTCTATTTTTGGATGAATGTTATACTAATCCATGTCTCACTTTACCGAATTTGTCTACAGTTTGAGAGTAACAATGCACTTCATAAAGTCTAGAAGTGAAATATATGACATGCCTATTGGAATAAGAGATTAAGATAAGGTTTGGTGCCTATGAGGATGGCTTTGTTAAATATATATATATTTTTGAGCTCTGCCGCATGGACCCAAAATATGGGACCAACATGGGGACATGTGACGTATCCCCCTCCTATTGCATAATGATGACCAGCTCATTATGCAATAGGAGCGGATACCTCACCTGTCCTCCCTGATGGTCCCATATTTTGGGTTCTTGGAGAATTTTTCTTTTTTTACCAACAATTTCAGTGCCATAATGATATTTCGGTATTTCTCATAACATGATTTATCATCATCTTATTCACAAATGGTGTCACACCGTAGCCCATTGATACTTGTGAAAGAAAACCAAACATTTGGTTGTAGCAATAAATGTTTTCTAGTATTTTCTTGCATTCTAATGGAAGCTTATTTCTCCAGGAAGGAAGCACGAGGATCTCTCTCTTACCGTTGGAATGGGACTAGGTATGGCTTTCCTCTTAGCCAAGAGCGCAGCTGAGTTCAATAAAATGAGAGAGCTGCGAGCAGAGATGGAAATGTTGCTTAAAGAAATAAAAAGCGAAGTTCAAAGTAAAGATGCCACTGCTAGCGCTTCAGAGTCGAACAATAACATTTTATTTTCACCCCCTCATCGTCGCGAGGACATAAGTACAAGCAAGAGCATTTCCGTGCTTAGTAGCAGCAGTGAGTACTTTGCTCTGCAAGGGGTTAAATGTGATGTTGATTCTGATACAGACTCAAAGCATTCGATAGATTTTGCAAATACGGGAAGCCTGAGGATCGATGAAATGGAAGCAGAACTAGAGGTTGAATTAGAACGCTTGCAAACCAACTTGGAAGGAGAATGCTCATCAGGAATTCAACATAGGATGGAGGTATGCCTCCTCAAAGAGTTTTATTTTAGTGATGCAAGTATATGCTTGTTCTATGGAATTCTTAAAATTTTTTATATATGCCCATGTTAAATTGCCTAGATATGAGATAGCCTAGCTTCTTATTGTATTCATATCCATGTAGAGGCAATCCATTTCTTCGTGCAACAGCTTCATCAGCTTTTATCCTTTCACAATCAACAATTATATCATCTTTTCTGTTTGTTATGCTTAAAATGATCGAGTCGAAAATGCTGTACGAAATGAAATGTCACAATATTTTTTTTATATATGCCCTAGTGATGGAAAACAAATAGTCATTTCTTGTTCTACTGGTCTGAATGACGTGCTTCTTTGAACGATTCTAGGTTTAACGGTTCCAAAATAAATGAAAGAGGTGGGTAGAACTAAAACGGGATCCTTGCCTAAAAAGGGGATATGGCGAAAGTGGTAGACGCTACGGACTTGAAAATCGGGTATTAATTCTTATAGCTGCTCACACCGATAATTATCTCTTACTCTGGGGGTGGGGCTGGGGGGGGAGGGTGGGGGGGGCGGGGGGGGGGGGGGGGGGGGGGGGGTTAGCCTTCTCGGACTAGGTTAGGCCTCAGCTTTTGAACTGATATCTTCACTTCACTTACTCAATTCTTATTCATCTTATCAAGAAAATACATTTAAGAAGCCTTTTTTTTTAATTTGATTGATTTCTGAATTAGGTCCTCGGCACCCTGTACATCCTTCTAAACTTCTAATTCATGGATATGATTGAATGCAGTCAGTTTACCTGGTTGAGTCATCAACTAATTGACTATAGTAAGCATAATCGGTCACTCTTTACACATTTCTGTCAACAAAAGCTCTTGAATGACGGACATAATTATCCAATAAATTCCTTCTTTGTGCAAACAGTCGTTGTGCAAGCAATTGCACCTAGTGCACGTCACCTTGAACCCTCTATGCATTTGTGTTGAAATATTCACACATGAATATAGCTCATGTTGGAAGGGAATAAATTGGTGGACTTGAATATGAAGTAGGAACTAAAACCACTTAATAGTGTTAGCACCAGATCACTATCTGAGAGGGAGTGGTTTCTTTTTCTCTGAGAAGGGGCACATATGGGTACTTCATCTTTCTTATTTTCTTCACCTTGACTTAGGCTCGACAAGCCCCTATACTATTTTAGTTTATGCAATACTATTAATTCTTACATCTCACTGTTGTAATTGGCTTGTCACCAAATATACCTACTGAATTATGTCGGCTTTCGTTACAATAAAAACATACATTTGAAAGGTACTCATCCATTTTTAAAGACCAGGTGGAATGCACGTGCAATGCACGAGGTTAAATATTATAATTGTTGATTTTTAGTTTATGTATTTACTATAACATAATTGCAAAAAAGTTTATGATTGTCATAATATATTAAAAAGTTTTAGATATTTCAATATATAAAATCTTGTTGGTTTCAACATTTTACCTTCCACATAATTAGTGATGTTTAAAGTCTTAAAATATTAATGATCTAAGAGCAATTTAATGATTTGGAATTCTAATTTTAAAACATTAATGATGTAAGCACCAATATCTAAAAAACTATTATTATTAATGAAAAAAATAAATCTTGAATTCATCAACATAAAAATGATAGGTTTATCTGGTCATAGAGGATTTTGTTTAATTATAAAGAAATCACTCGCACCTATTGTCTACTTCCACTTTTTATTATCTGGCGACCGAGTATTATAGATAGTCAAATTTTTTTTTTTTAGAATTTTCAAAGTTAGAATGTGCAAATTCAATCAAGAAAGAAAATATAAATTATGTGATCAATTCCAAAATCTGATATTATAATCTTCCTACATCTTCTCAACTAATTAAATAATTTATCAAAATGATTACTTTCTAATTTAGAAAATTATAAAATATAATCTAAGAATGATTTAAACATAATTTGTACACATATGGATTGTATTTTAACAAAATAATTTAGATCTATCCAATATTGAATAATATCCAAATATTTAGGTTAAAGAGTTAAAAGAATCTAATAACACTCATATCCAAACTATATGTTTCATAAAGGTGAGACATATAAAATGAACAACTTAATCTCATATCCAAACTATATGTTTCATAAAGGTGAGACATATAAAATGAACAACTTAATTTATTTTGTTAAATAATTTATTACAAATCATAAAAGATAAGGAGAACCATAAGGATCACATAGTCATCCTATATAAAGATTAAATTTCTCTCTGCGAAGTTTGTAGCAAAAGATTTTCAGAGATACTGATAGACTTGCTATAAAATCCACTGTTATATGATGTCATATGTGTCTTAAATTGTGCTTTGTTAAGGGTTAATTTTAGAAAACTTCCCCTTAGCTATGGGAAAAATATTTAAAAAATCCTCCCCCAACCTCAACTACTTGAAATGAGTAAATCTTTGTTCGTCAAATTTGGGGTGTTATAGCTCATCTATCTGAACTTCAAAATTTTGATTTAACCCTATAAACTTTTCTCAAATAACCCCTCAAAACTATTATTATTGAGTCGAATTCATTATGTAATAAGTACCTGACTTGGAAAGACCAAAATATCCCTCGACCATAAAAGAATTAGCTTGGTTTTTGCTAGATGATAGAAAAAGTGAAGATTTAGAGGTAAAAATAACTGTAAATTGGTCATAATCTTTTTATTATCGGGTGAGTTTTTTTTTAACTAAACTGCCTTTGTTTGACAAGGCATTTTGACAAAATCACATATTAAAGTATTTTACACTAAGGGGGTTTGTTAAGAGATGTGTAAAAGACTATGAGAGTTTTTATAAGACACGTTAAGTCGAATGGTGTTTTCTAAAAGCGCACCAAAGTGGAGAGGGGTTATCTACAATATCTCTATAGTTAGGGTGCTCTGTCAAATTAAATTAGTTGAGTGGTTTTTTAAGACATTCCCCATATTTGAGAGAGTTTTCAAAAAATTAACTATTTTTTAAATTTATCTTATGTCCCTCAAATGTTTTATAATTCAATATTGCTCCCTAATTATAAGCAATTTTAAAAATTTAAGGGGATAATGTAGAATTATTGGAGATTTAAAATCAAGGAAACGATATTTAAATTACCTTTAAATATTGCTCTTATACGCAATATATGAAATATCGGCCGATATATCGCTATACCGACTGATATAAAAGGTTAAATACTTTATCTTGATAATATCTATGGTTTTATATTGTTTTCTTTTATTTGGGGATTTTTTCTCATATATAGATCATTATCGAAAATATTGGTTGGTATAAAAAATCAAGTTATTTTTTATTTGATTGTTGGCTTGATACTGGGTCGTGTTTGGAAACCAAAACTAAAGCACAAGTAACAAAAATCACAATTCATATCCCAAATCTCTCCATTCTCAACTCTCCCAAATCTTAAGCATATATATTAATGCAAATTCTTATGTTAAAAATTCATCAATATCTGAGATTATAGATTACAATGTTATATTATGTATGAGCATTATCTCATATGACACCCCGATATTTTTTACATAACCCAATTATTGCAATCCAATATCAAGGATTTTATTTGTCCAGCATTTATACGATGCTCAACACTTTGTAGTAGTCCTTTGAAAGTCTCTTCTAATGTTTTCTAAGCAAAATATATAAATTCAGAAATAATTCAAAATTTTAAGATTATTCAAAGTATGATGCTTTAATTTTCCCATATTTCTTCTAGTATATAAATATAAGCTAAGCCTCTGGCCTCATATTATATGATGAATATTATTTATCAAAGGGATCACATACTGTTTCTTGTGGTTAACAAAGGCTTTAAATCCTTATTGGCTTAATTAAATTAAATACCTTACAGTTAATAAAAGTTTCAATTACATACATCCACTTGTATCTTGTTGCACTTAAATATCCTAATGCTTTTTAAAATTGCATGTCTGTACCTTCTATATGCAAGAATATTATTTGTAACTTTCCTATATGAATATAATGGTGTAATTTTAGGATATTTCTATATTTTCTACTCTTTTCTTTAATAATTTATTAACATGCAATTATCTATTAATATATTATTAGACATTACTAATAATTAATATGAGAGTTTTACAATAGTTTTAGGGACCATGTTAGACAAACTTAAAGTGACATATAATATGATTAATTAACAATAATAATTATTTTAGTTTAGTTAGGATTAAAATATAATATTTAAAAAATAGGGGTAACATAATCCATAGAAAGTTTTTCTACAACTTTCTTTTTTAAAGGGAGTATGATTCTAAGCGAAGTATGTAATTTTATTTATAATTCAAAATCTTGAAACTTATTCAAAATATGATGCTTAAATTTTTCACATTTTCTGTACTATATAAATATAAGCTAACCCTCTGGCCTCATATTATATGATGAATATTATTTATCAAAGGGATCACATACTATTGTTTGTTGTAGACTGTCTAAAAATTACTGCAGATAGCTGATCCTCATCAGTGTGAAGATGTAGAAGAAAGATGGTGGGCTCCAGAATCTTCATTTCTTCGAGAACCAAATATAAGAATTATAAGCTAACGATCATTGCAGAACTTGAGAAAATAGATTACAATTGACGATCTCTTCAATGCTAAACGCGAAGGTCGACCTTCGTGTTTCTAATTCTAAACACGAAGGTTATTCTCGCGTTTCAACAACAAAACGCGGAGGTCATTCCCGCATTTCAACGACAAAACACGGAACTTATCACTGCGTTTCAAACTCAAAACGTGGAGCTCACCTCCGCGTGTCATGTGCTAGACGCGGAGCTCATTTCAGAACGCGAACCTTGCGTTTGACCATTTCAAACACGTTTTAAACGGTTCCAAAACCGTTTTCCACGAGATTACCTGATTATTGCAATCAAATATCATGGATTTTATTTGTCAAGCATTTATATAATGCTCAACACTTTGTAGTAGTCCTTCGAAAGCCTCTTCTAAAGTTTTCTAAGTAAAATATATAAATTGAGAAATAATTCAAAATCTTAAGATTATTCAAGATATGATATTTCAATTTTCCCACATCTCCTCTAATATATAAATACAAGCTAACCCTCTGGTCTCATATTATATGATGAATATTATTTATCAAAGGGATCACATACTGTTTCTTGTGGTTAACAAAGGCTTTAAATCCTTATTGGCTTAATTAAATTAAATACCTTACAGTTAATAAAAGTTTCAATTACATACATCCACTTGTATCTTGTTGCACTTAAATATCCTAATGCTTTTTAAAATTGCATGTCTGTACCTTCTATATGCAAGAATATTATTTGTAACTTTCCTATATGAATATAATGGTGTAATTTTAGGATATTTCTATATTTTCTACTCTTTTCTTTAATAATTTATTAACATGCAATTATCTATTAATATATTATTAGACATTACTAATAATTAATATGAGAGTTTTACAATAGTTTTAGGGACCATGTTAGACAAACTTAAAGTGACATATAATATGATTAATTAACAATAATAATTATTTTAGTTTAGTTAGGATTAAAATATAATATTTAAAAAATAGGGGTAACATAATCCATAGAAAGTTTTTCTACAACTTTCTTTTTTAAAGGGAGTATGATTCTAAGCGAAGTATGTAATTTTATTTATAATTCAAAATCTTGAAACTTATTCAAAATATGATGCTTAAATTTTTCACATTTTCTGTACTATATAAATATAAGCTAACCCTCTGGCCTCATATTATATGATGAATATTATTTATCAAAGGGATCACATACTATTGTTTGTTGTAGACTGTCTAAAAATTACTGCAGATAGCTGATCCTCATCAGTGTGAAGATGTAGAAGAAAGATGGTGGGCTCCAGAATCTTCATTTCTTCGAGAACCAAATATAAGAATTATAAGCTAACGATCATTGCAGAACTTGAGAAAATAGATTACAATTGACGATCTCTTCAATGCTAAACGCGAAGGTCGACCTTCGTGTTTCTAATTCTAAACACGAAGGTTATTCTCGCGTTTCAACAACAAAACGCGGAGGTCATTCCCGCATTTCAACGACAAAACACGGAACTTATCACTGCGTTTCAAACTCAAAACGTGGAGCTCACCTCCGCGTGTCATGTGCTAGACGCGGAGCTCATTTCAGAACGCGAACCTTGCGTTTGACCATTTCAAACACGTTTTAAACGGTTCCAAAACCGTTTTCCACGAGATTAGGACATTAAACCCCCATTGTGACATGATTTAAGGGGTGGTTACACCCCATTAAGGAGCAATTTAAGGGGGTCAGTTACACCCTATTAAGGAGCAATTTAAGGGGTTGGTTACACCCCATTAAAGAGCAATTTAAGGGGTCGGTTACACCCCTTAAAGCCCTATGAATAGCGGGTTTCACAGCTGGAAAAAGGGTCGGCAACATTGAGGAACCATTGGTGCATTTTGTGAAAGCTTTTGTTGGAGCTTTGGAGTTTTTTGGCCTTGGCTTTTGAACCATTCTCGGTTGAAGAACTGAATATCAGTTTGTCCTCTTATTCCAATTAAAAGGGATTAATTTCCTTTCTGAAATTAACTCTTTTATAGAGTTCTCAAACTCCTCCAAAGTTCTTAAACACCATGCATTTCGAGATTCCCATTTCGAGATTCCCTGGGTCTTGCTCATTTGTACCCGGTTCCAAATTGCACGATGTGGCATCGTGAAAGTCCTAATGCTGAAGTACTCGTCTAAAAACGTGTAAAATCCAACGGAACATGCTTCTGTTCCATAATCAAACCAAACCATTTTCCTAATTGTAAACCTGTGTTTTTTTTAGAAACCTTTCAGTCTTGGAATTGATACATGGGCATGACACAGTATCTACCATGCACGTTTCGGACGTAAATTAAGATGTCTAAATTTTGCTCTCGGATTATTGTAGGCTCTCTTTTTTCTGTTGACAGCGTCCTAATCTTTCGCCTAACAATCACAGGTTGATCGTGAGGACAATGACCCTTCATACGAAAGCTTCAGCGTCGGTTGCGAGGAAGAAGAGAACGAACCCAGAGACGACGATATCTACGAATACAATGGGGTTTCTCCACGTGAACTGGAGAGGAAATTGCACGAGCTTTTGGAAACAAGGCAGCAAGAAAGGATAGAAGAGCTGGAGTCTGCGTTAGAAAATGCTGAACAAAAGTTAAGGGAGAAAGAAATGGAGCTGGAATGGTGGAAGGAGACTCAGTGGCTTGCTTCACTAAACAAGGAGAGAACATTCATTTAGTGGGAATCAAGACTCGAAGAAATCATCACAGGTGAAGCATGCAAGGGTCCAAACAAGTCGTATTTATTGTAGAGTTATAGTTGAGTGTTTTGGCACCAAAATGATCTTCTGAAACATTGGGTTTTTTTTTTTACCCCGACTCAATTGACTAGGGGAGAAATTTTTGTATATAGAGAAACATGATTATTGAATAATTATATAGTCCTTTTTCCATATAAGTGATCGCCTTTAAAATAGAGTCATTATGTAGGAACCATATTTCAATCTTAATTTATACATAAATCACCTTTAAAGGGATTTTTTTTCTTTTTTGCAATCACCCATCTGAATCCACTTTTCAATTAACTTTTTTGGTAATTAATCCCACATTATACCTCCACTAAGGATCATATCTCTAATATACTTGGTGTTTGATAACTAATTATTACAGCCAACCAAAAAAAGCATCTCGACTTAAGAGTGAGTCCACGCAGTTGATTGCAACAAAAAAAAAATCTCTTAATTGTGGTCTATACATAAATTGACAATCATATATGATTTTTATAAAATTTTCATATTTTAATTAAAAGTGATTTCTAAGGAGGAAAACCCTTATTGTATATTGTATATGTATATAATATGTATGAGCTGCATTCAGATTGACCTTCTCATGGAGCTCATACTACAGATATAGTAATCTTCTGCACCTAGCTAGGTCTTGTCGTATGTATATTTTTAGATTAACTATATTTTGATCATTTCGTCTTGCTCCTTATTTTACTCATCAATATAGCGGTTGAGTTATTTTGTAACAAAGTCTACCAAATATTCTTTCAAGTAACACTTGATATTGTTACTGTTACTTCGGTTACTTCCTGAAGAATTTTAATTCCTTAATTAATTGAGTCACTTCTCGGTAACCTTGATAGTATTTTTCCCGTGCTAAGCATTTGAAACCTGTCAAATTATTTTGGTGCATTTCTCTGACAAAATTTCAGCCTCATGCTGCGCTCTGCACGTAAGGTGTTTGTTATTGGGCTATAAGCCCAATATGTTCGTGTTGATCTCAAATTTAAGGTTTCGTTTCATCCCGCCTTCCTACGTGAAATTGGAAAATCCCGTACTTTTCTTTTTCAAATCTCAAAATTAAAAATCTCATACTTAAGTAATGGATTTGATGCCTCATATTTCCTCATGGACACCTACACATATCTTATACTGTGTAGCGTCCATATGCGCATTTGGGAGGTGAATATCCAAAGCGTCAACCATCTTAAAAAACAATCATTAATTATTACTTAGAGGATGGCTAAAATAATTTCAATGGGAAAATGAGAGCATTCACATCCAAGGAAAGTTGGAAATTCATCTTATTTATTTATTTATTTTTATTATTTTCGAGAGCGCGAGAAAGGCTTGTCCACGAATAAGAGGTCCTAGGCTTTTGGGCCTCACTTTATAGTTGTACTAGATAATTTTTTTTGGAGTAGGAGTTCTATCAGAACCGACGCATGGTGTGGGTATTCTATGCGACAAATAGGAGAGCTGTGAGGCCAAACTATCCCCTGTTTTACTGAATGAGTGGTTCAGAATATCTCGTATGGTGCGGGGCGTTCAAATATGATTTCTACTCATTTTCTTGATATTTTCTTGTGAAAAGCTTTTCTTGATAGTTGACAATATAAATTACATGAAAAATGCAAATTGTGAATTAGGCATCCCTTAGCTGCTCATTAGAGGGTGAGATAATCTTGTTGGGGACGGGGGGAAAAAGGTGAAGAAGGAAGCAAATGGACAGTGATTCATTAACCTTAGACATGACGCAAACCTTCCAAGCATTGATAGATGACTAGCAACAAATTAATTCTCGGTCCCTTTTGCAATTATAATTTGAAGGACAGTGATTCACTACTGAAAAAGATTTAAAGCCGTCAAAGTTTTTTTATTACCCGCTAACCTTAAAAAATTGATGATGTTGGTGTCAAGATGTTATGAGAAGACATGTTTCCCTTTTGCAATTATAATTTGAAATCCAAAGGCAAATATAAAATATTTTCTCTTTGTCATGCTGATTTATAGGGGCTGTTTGGATAATTTGTGTAAAGTAAGGCATTTATAACACCAAATGGAAAGGAGGTTATCGACCTCATCACTTCATTGTTTGCTTTTACATTGTTTGGTTTGGGTTCCTTGTGAATCCTAAAATAATTGTAACACATTGTTTAGATTGAACAACGTAAACTTGAAAAGTGATAATAACGTGAACCCCATTCAAAAGTTTATTTTATTATAGTAATACATGTTAATATGATCACTACAAAAAAAAAAAAAATTCATTGACTACATATATATAGACAAGAAAATTTATTAAAACATAAATATATTCTTGGCCGAATATTCGTTAAGACGCACACAATCTCAATGAGGCTATAAAACAAGAAATAATCCCAAGAACTCAATTTATGTCTCTGAAGTAATATCGAAAACAAGAAAATACATAGCAATGAGTATGAAACTTCATTAAATAAATCCAAAGAGATCCACTATTAAACTCATTACGGAGAACACACGTATGCATTTAACTCCCGGATGAAACAGTAGCCTGTGATAGATCAATTCATAAGAAATAATAGAAAGAATGCTAGGTAGAGAGGGGTCTTTGCAGTACAATAATTAATATTCCTTGTTGAAGGCTTCCAATACTTGGCTCAACCGATGGATAATTTAACTTTTGCGAACAGTCCATGAAGATGAAGTCATATAAACATTAGCGACAACTTCACAAAAAAATCTTATTTTTATGCCTCCTCTTCCTCTTGTATTTCTTTTTTCCTTCCTTCAAAAAGCTCCAAAATACCTAGCTCCTTCAACTAGTTTCATTTTAGGGAGATTTGTGTCAATGCCTCAATATAAAAAGTAGTATGTGACCTGGCGCTTCCATCATTTCCTATTGTGGAGCAGACCCAAAAAATATCACTTCATGTAATTCAACCATTTATTCTCTGTCAACTAAGCACAGAGAGAGAAACAAACATAAAACCCGAAAACACCATCATTTCTTTCTCTCTCTTCTCTCCATATCTAAATCTTCATGGCTCTTTCTTCCTCCTCCTCTCTCCTAACCCATCTTCTTCCTTGATGTAGAACACACAGCAGACATGTTTATGTCAAAGTGAGACAGTCGCAAGCCCAAATGCGGGCCTGATCGAAGAAAATAACTTGTTTCGAAGAAACGGCCGTAACTTTCAAACCGTATGTCGGAATTGGACGGATTATATATGAAAATCGACTATCTCGACGAGACGGAGCCATCCAAACCCATCCCTTCGGATTGGGTTTGCGTTTTTCGTTTTGCCAAATTCCTTACAGTTTGAGAGATATTTGCATTTTTGCCTGTTTTTACTTTTTTTAATAATATTTTAGGAGTCTGTTTTGTTTAGGAAACAAATCCCGTTTGATCTCAGATTTGACCGGTGGACTTTCCTAATCATAAGGAGTCTTTTTAGGAGTTTTAGTATTTTAGGAATTCATTTACTATTTTTGGTAAAGTTTGAGTCATTGTAGGAATTAGAGTCCTTATAGGAGTCTTGTTTCTTTTTCTATTTAAGAAGAGTCTTGTAAGCCCTAGAGGCATAACTTTTTCATCAATAAAATTTCTCTTTTCAATATTTTTTTCGTGGATTCGAAGTTCTTCGTGGATTCGAATATCGTTCTTTGTGGATTCAGAGAACACCCTTGGTGGATTTCGAGGTTAACACTTCCGCGCTGCGTCATTCCTCCTCCTCTCTCTCTCTCTCTCTCTCTCTCTCTCTCTCTCTCTCTTCCTCCTTTTTCTCTCAGACACCGACTTCCCCCACTGCCACCACCGACATTGGGTGCACACTCCGGCCATGTTGTTCGTTCCTTTTTTCCCACTAATTTTGTCTGCCCCCCCCTACACACACACCAAAAAAAACCAAAGAAGCCCTAATTTGGTCAGCAATGACGAAACCATAGAATTCGTCAGAGTTGTCGTCGGAGGATCTGTCAAACAACAGATCAGTCACTAACACTGAAGGCGAAGAGGTGGAGAAGATGTGACAAAGAACAAGGCAGAGGAGGCGGTGCTGGAGGAGGACGAGGAGGAGCTCGAGGCCGTCACAAGTTCCATAAGACCTCTAAACTATCGATTTTTTAAAGAATTTTGTAATTTCTGTTTGAACATCATGGAAAGGTAAAAATCTACAGAAATATTAGCTAAATGTGGTTTTTTCGATAATTTTTTATGTTAAGTTCAAGTCCAAGGTAGAATATTAAGTCTAATGAGTTGGAAGTAAGTCCAAAGGTTTGTATGTTAAGTCTATTGAGTTGAATAATAAGTTTATTATATGTTAAGTCTAATGCATTTTATGTTAAGTCTATTGGCATGATGTTAATTCTAATTGATAGAATGTTAAGTCTATAGAGTTCAATATTAAATTTAATCGGTTAAATTTTAAGCCTGATTGGAAGATATTTTTTATCTAATAAAAAGCATGTTATTTATAAGGAAAATAATATTACTTCTACATTGTCCGATGTTAATTCTAATGGGAGGAATGTCAAGTCTAATCTGTTAAATATTAATTCTAATTAGAGAAATGTCAAGTCTAATAAGTTGAATGTTAAGTCTAATTGGAAGATTGTCAAGTCTAATATATCGAATGTTAAGTCTCGTTTGTCAACTCAAATTGGTTCGATGTTATGTCTAATGAGTTGGAAAGGAAGTCCAATAGCTTGTATGTTAAGTGTAATGGATTATATGTTAAGCCTAATTTGTTGAATGTTAAGTATAACTTGTTATATGTTAAAGTCTAATATATTGAATGTTAAGTCTCGTTTGTTAACTCAAATTGGTTCGATATTAAGTTTAATGAGTTGGAAATGAAGTCCAATGGCTTGTATGTTAAGTATAATAGATTATATGTTAAGGCTAATTTGTTGAATGTTAAGTGTAATTTATTATATGTTAAGTCTAATGGATTATATTCAACTCTATAGACTTAACATTCAACCAATTAGAATTAACATTATGTCAATTACACTTAACATTATGTCAATTACACTTAACATACAATGCATTAGACTTAAGACTTTACATATAATCCATTACACTTAACATTCAACAAATAAGACTTATTATTCAACCCAATAGACTTAACATACAAGCCCTTGGGCTTCACTTTCAACTCTATAGACTTAGCATTCATTCAATTAGAATTAACACCACGCTAATTAG